TACAGAGAACAAACTGACAAATGTTAGAGGGGAGGTGGGTAAGGAGCTGGGTGAAAAAGATGAAACAATCTAGCAAAAAACAAACAAACCCACAAACCCACACCAAAATCCTCATAGACACAGACAGCAGTATGGTGATTTCCAAAGGGAAAGGGGGTTGGGAGAGGAAGAAGAGGGTACAGGCTGCGTAAGTGGTGACAGAAGGAGAGGACTTTGGGTGGTAAACACACAATACAATCCACAGATGAGATGTTATAGACTTTGCACCTGAAACCCATATATTTTATTTAACCAATGTCATCCCAATACATTCAATAAAAAGAAAAAAGAAAAATAAAAAAGAAAGGGTCATGGACATTCTGTCAACAACATACAAAATGTTTTGTCTTTGCCCTCTTGTGACTATTGCCTGGGACGCAGTTCCCTTTGTCTGTAGATAAAATCTCCTTGTCCGCGCGCTGGCCGTGTGCTGGTGTCAGAAGCACCCTGCGGCCTGGCCTAATCACACGCACCACCAGAAGGCCCGTGGGGACGCTCTCCCCCGCCCCACTCAGATGTACTCAGTGATACCATCGCCGTGTCGCCTGGGCTCTGGCAGGTTCCGAGTCAGCAAATTCTGCCAGGAGGAAAGGCCGGATCTGCTTGGGGTTCTCTACATGGGGTTCTCTGCTATTTTTCTTCCTCCGTGGCGCCCACTCAAAACAAACCGTCTCACCAGCATTAGAGCTGGGGGTTGTGCAACGCGGCAGGGGTCAACTCCAACTTCTTCTCCGCAGGGGGTGAGGGAGGCTGGCTTATTTTTGGCAGGACCATCTGTCACAGACTGAGGGTGGGGGGAAGGGTCCCGGAGGGTGTGCACAATACCCAGTTCCAAGACGGGGATGAATAAGGAGGAGGGTGTTTATTTCTGTTTTTATGAGGATTTAATTTTTTACAATAGAGAAGACACTGCAGCATTAACTCTTAAGTGAGTCAGTAAGACACATGGAGAGAGAAAGAAAATGTTTGGTTTTGAGGCAACAGAATGTCAAACTTCATAGAAGATGCTAGCTGCAAAATGACAACATTTAAGTCTATTTTAGTTCAATTTTTATCTCCAAATCTAAATCAGTATTTTCAAATGAATACAGGCATTTCCACTTAGATTTCCTTTAGATATAAAACCAGGTTTCTCCTTCCCATTTTTGGTAACAACAGCTAACACTAATATAAATATCACTTACTCTTCCTAACAATGCTATGAGGTTGATACTGTTATTGTCCCCATTACACAGATGAGGAAACCATGGCACAGAGTGATTGAGTAATTTGCCCCAGGGCACACAGCTACCAAATGGAAGAGCCAGAACTCAACCTAAGCCAGGGGTCAGCAAACTCATTGGTCAACAGAGCCAAGTATCAACAGCACAACGATTGAAATTTCTTTTGAGAGCCAAATTTTTTAAACTTAAACCTCTTCTAATGCCACTTCTTCAAAATAGACTTGTCCAAGTCGTGGTATTTTGTGGAAGAGCCACACTCAAGGGGCCAAAGAGCTGAATGTGGCTCGAGAGCCGAAGTTTGCCGACCACGGACCTAAGCCATGGGCTCTGGCTCCATGCCAGTCCTGCATCGTGCTTAGCACTCCTAAGGTCGTTAACTGAGGGTTATCTTTGATGCTTCAATCTCTTGAAAACAATGGTTAGGCTAGAGCTCTGAAATTCTGATTTCATCAGACCAGTGTATCTCAAAGCACCCTGTTCTTTCCTTCAAATGTGTATCTAATGTGATTACCGATGTACTAGACTGCTGACTGCGAACAATCAGATGGAAAGGGGTCCGGAGTGAGAGCTGTGTCTGCTTTGTTTCCCAGCAGCATTCTCAATGTGTCCAATAAGTATTTGCTGACAAACGCTCCCACCGCGTCTGCTGTCCTCAGTCTTCACGGACGGCTCACCTGGAGCCTCACTTCTACAGGGTCACTAGATGCTACTGCTCCTCAGGGCTCCGCCCAGGCACTCCCTAAGCCACGCCCACACGCCCGTGGTGTCTGATACTCCGCCATGTAGACCTCTAGCCCGCTGGTCTCCTATGACCGCAGATCTGCATCCCCAAGGCCCCCCACACACACACACACATCTCCTCCCCTGGTGTCCCAATCTCAGCACACCCCACGCTGAGCTTCTGACAGTCTCCCTGAAGCTGAGTCAGTGCAGGCTCCCACCTGGGGGCAGAGCAGTCAGGCAGTGCAGAGACCTGGAGTCTGCCTGAGGGCCTCCCTCCTCCACCTCTGTCTATCCACCTGCCATCAGGGACTGCAGATTTCACCCCCAAATACCCATTTGTCTCTCCATATCCATTCCCGCCATCCCTTCCGCCTGCCCTTTGAGAAGCTTCTGAATGTCTCCCTGCCTCCACGCTCACTTGTCTCCTGTGCTTATTTCAGTATGTTCCGTGCACATTGGTTCTTATAAAGGCAGATCTGATCACGTGACTCTCTCCTGCTGGCTTCTCCTGCTCTCAGGATAAAGACATTTTCCCTCCGTGGTTGTGCCATCCCGGGTGCCCTGCAAGAAAGCTGACTTGGGGGTGGTATGGACATGCATTCTAGGCTCAGGTAGGGAGCAGGAGGGAAAGCTCAGCCCAGGGCCCTTAGCAGGGTGACTGGGGACAGCACAGCCCTTGCTCTGGAGTCTGAGCTGGCCCAGAGCTGAGCGAAGCTTTCAACAACCTCTTTCCACAGAGCCAGGCTCTGCCAATGGCCTTTGTCTCTATGCAGTAGAAGGGCGGTTAGCCTCAGCTTCCCCTGGCCCAGGGAGAGGGTCCCCTGTTGGGCCCTTGGCGGCTCCAGTTCTAACGTGGACCTCAGTGGGAACTTCTTGTTCTACGTTCTACTGTTGCCAACCCCAGAGGCCTTCCTCGCTGGGAAGGCCTGTGTCTCTGCTGCCCTTTCTGTGGGATCTCCAGGAAATGAGGACTTGGTCAACCCCCAGAGAAACAGAATCCAGCACCTTCTCACCCCTCACAGCCGGCCCTCTCCAGCCCCCTCCCTTCTGCCCTGCAGCCTCCCCGGGTTCCCCAGTGGGCAGGGCGGGTCTCTGCTCTGCTGTCAATCTTGCCCATCTCGCTTTAAGCACAAACCTCGGTTCTTTAAATGCCCAGGGCCAACCTGATTTGTCCTCTTTCCTTTCTGGTCTTAACTTGACCACAGTTACCTCTCCTTCTCTGTCCGGCCACCCTGGCTTCCTTGTGGCATCTCAGACTCATGGGGCGGGGGGAAGAGGGGGGCCAAGGGAACAAGCTGCCCTCCCAGGTTCTGCTGGAACCCTCTCCCCAGGCCCCGCTCTCACCTCCTCCAGGTGTTCGCTCAAAGCTCCCTTCCCAGGGGTCTTACGTGGCTTCCCACTCCACAGTCACCCCCACACGCTCCCTTCCTGCTCCTGGCTCTTTATTTCCCCTTACCACCGTGTAACAATCTACTCTACTTGTTGATCTTGTCCACTGTTCCTTCTCCCAGCTTACAATTTGTGTTATAAGGGCAGGGATATTGTGAGCGTTTTCACTTCTGGATCTCCAGCACCTGCAACAGTGCCTGCGACATAAACATGCGTTACCTGAGTGGACGGACCTTTGCTTTGCCCTCACTGGGTTGTAGGCCGCCTGCTAAGCTCACCTCTGCAAAGCCAGAGACCTTCTGGATACCCACACCCTCCCCCCTGCCCACGCCCATGCCAGCACAGTGGCTGCCTCCCCTCGGCCGCCCCTCATACACTCGTTGCTGAATCCTTAAAACTGGGTCCCATTGCTGGGGGCTTCCCAGGATAAACCAGATGTCTGTACGCTGCCGGTCATCATTATTCAATGCTGATGTTCATTTCTAATTATTATCCAACAGGGAACAATCCATTACTGCTACAGCACGGGCTGTAATTACTGGCCTTCTGGAGTCTGTGTTGCCCATCGCCACAGGGCTGCCCCCTGGCAACGTGAGCATGCGGGTTTGGCCAAGTGGCATAGTCTCTCCACGACTCTCTCTCCACAGGCTCCCACTTACATTGTGAGGAGCAGGGTGCTGGGAGGGGGGCTGAGCGTGTGGAAGAACCTCCCAGTAGTTCTTCTAGGCCAGAGCCGCGTGAGCGGGAGTAGCAGAGCCCGAAGTTGGAAATAAACCAGAGGGTGTGGTGGAGCCTCCACCCGCCAGAGGCTGAGAGCCAGGCCTCTTAGAGGCCTCCTGAGCACCCTACCCCTGCACTCGAGCTTCCACATGCCACACAACAGCTTTCTTCAGTGAATCTGCCCGGCAGGCCTTACCCTGGTCCCCAGATTGGTACTCAGAGCCCCTCAGAACCTGCCTGCCCACCCCCTGCCACCTCCCAGACCCCGAAGGAGCCCTGCCTCTCACTGACCCCTGGACATACCTGACACCTCTGCTTCGGGCCCTCGGCTCGGGTGATGGCAGCACTGCTGCTCCCAGAGGCACAGGCAGCCGCTCCGAGAGGGCACCACATCTCTGTAACCACCCTGTGGGCCCTGGCAGGAGGCCCTGACAGCTGGGACCCGACAATCCGAGTGCAGGCTCAGGGAGGCCGGATGCCACCAGTCCATTCACATCATTCCAGCTATTCCTCTACTAGGAAAACTCAGAGGCTCACATCACACAACTGATTTTCAATCAAACACGACGTTTCTGGGCAGAAGAAGGCAGGAGAGGGCAAGGCAGGAACTGACCCTGGAAAGACTTGGGGCATGACACATGCAGCCAGCACACAGCCCATGGCATGCCCCGCCCTGGGCTCCGGCTCCCGCCCCTTCCATCGTCAGTCTGCATCACAGCAAGCAGTTCCCAAGGAGATAAACCATTGTCAGTACCAACAAGAATGCCCTTGGCCCCCAAACACAGCAACTTCCAGGCAAGAGTCGAACCAGCCTTGCCTGCAAAGCCACTGCACACACATAGCCCATTCAAAGTGCAGTAACAGAAATGAGCGACAAGGTAAATAATGAAAGAGTTGCCAAAATACCAATTTTTCCTCTTTTCCCATTTGCTCCTTTTTCGCCCTTCGGGCCCTGGGGACCAGGCTGTCCATCCGACCCGTTGTGTCCCGGTAGCCCACCGAGTCCTGGCGGTCCTGCATCAAACACGGAAACAAACATTAAAAACATCTCTTTGCTGAAGTTCAGGTCATTCCCTGAAGCCAGTGAACCCGGGCAGCATCCACACCTTTCCCAGATCCTTCCCGCTTCTCCCCAACCTTCCCTGGCCTGGGGCAGTGACAGGTGGGGGTGGTGAAGGCGGGTTCTCAAGTGGGAGGGGCAAGAGAGTTCAAGATTGGGGCAGAGAGGAGCGGGGACACAGTGATAGTGAGGTTTGGCTCTAGAATCTTCCCCTTCCCCACCTTAGCCCCTTCTGAGTGATCCTGGGGGGTTAGCTACCCATATTCCCCCCATGAACTAGAAAAAGCCATGGGCTCTTACCTGGTGGGCCAGGTGGGCCTAGAATAGAAAAAAAAAAAAAATTTTAAATGGTGAAAGCAAAGCCAGCTCCACCCCTCAAAATTATTTCCCCCTCTTAGAATGTACTGGCGAGGAACGGCCCATGCCTTTTAATTCAGTATATTTACCCAAAAGATTCTTTTTTTTTTTTTAAATCAATCTTTATTGTTCATATTATTACACAAAAGATTCTTAAAATCAAGTCAGCACAGACACATTTGCCAACCAAAACCACTTCTGTTTAAGTGTCAGTGGACCTAGAATAATTGTATTGATTCAGAAATCAGTCATCTCTCAAGCAATCAACTTAACTCAATGAGGCTGGGTGACAATACAGGTAGGCACTACAGCCCTGGCACACGTAAGTGCCGGCATTGCAGGGCTGAGGTCTGGCTGTCCCGAGAGCGGTCCCAAGGGCTCCCAGCCAGCCAGTGTGTCTCCGCCAGGCCACGGAGGGGGGCTGACAGCAGAAGCTGGTTCACCTCCTACTCTCTATTTTGTTGCAGAAAATAGCCCAGGACGAATTGAGGGCCCAGATCAGGTAGCAAATAGTTTCCTTGTAGTGAAATTACCCAGAAAACCTAAGGGTGTTCAGATGGATCATTTACACATAATCTAACAAAAGAATTTTGCTTTTCCAAATACGAGAGTCTTCTTATCAGTTATTCTATGTGAGCACTCAGACAAGCTGGTGAGGCTGTAGAGGGGGCAGCTGAGGTCCTCCCGTTCTCCAGGCTGCATGTGATCACCAGCACTACCGGGGAAAGGTCTTCCACAAACCCAAGCTGTGGCTTGGTCACCATTTACTAAGCACCTACTATGTGCACCAAAATTCACTAAGCAGCGGCAAACGTGGCCCCTGTGTCTATTGTATTGACAACCTACCAGGGGAAGGTAGGTACTTTGCCATCACAATGAAATGTGAGGGAGCTGCAGAGAAGCAAAACCCCAAAGGGGTGCTGGGGCAGCCTGGGCACACAGCCGTCTGAGAGGCCTCCAGAGAAGGTGAGCCTGGAGCTGGGGCACTGAAGAAGCAATGGGGAAAGCGGTCCATGGTCACAGCGGATGAAGCCCACCTCACCTGGGCCTGCCTTTTCAAAGATGAGCCCAGGGTAAAGCTAGATCTTGCTCCCGGGCTCTGAGCCCAGGGTCTGCCTGCCCACATCTCCCCAGGGCACCAAAGCTCTCTCCCCTCACCCTGAAGTTGCCAATTCAGTCCTGTGTCCTATGGCCTTCCCACCCCAACCCTGGCAGCCTGGCCTCTGCCAACGCACCACCTCACGTGGAAACTTATGCCTTTTACACCGAAGTTTTAATAGAGGAGCTTTCTGTGTAAAAGGAGGCCCAATTTCAAGCTGGTGTGAAAGGGGAAGGTGTGGCCTTCGAAAAGCAATCTGAGGTGCCAAAGAACCCCCGCACCACTCCTGTAGGGAGGCACGGATGTGCTCTCCCACAGCGTCAATCTCCCCTAAGTGGTCTCAATAGTCCCTCACACATTCACTGCACAGTATGGCCCTCCTGTCACCATAAAAATAAGAAAGAAAGAGGCTTTTCCTGTGCCTCTCGACAAGGCTTTTGTGCCTGTAATTCCATCCCTCCGAGCATTTCCCCAGCACTCATTACGGTCACACGAGGGAACTCTGAGAAGGGACTTCCGGAGAGGGAAGAAAGGTGCTTAAGCTACAAGAGCTTCAGAATAAAGGACCAAGCTGTTCTAAAGATATTTAACTTTCTGTGAGGGCTGAGATGTGACTTGAGTAATTCAATTAGCATTTCCCAAGAAGCCACAGGATTACAGCTTTTCTCTCTGAGGCCAAACCAAGCAAATGAGAGTCAGACTGACCGGGGTTCCTTGGGGAAGTGTCTTTCTTAGCAGCCCAACACCCCATTCAACACTCACAGAAACCCCAGGTCATTCGGCAAACTCCCAGTGAGCGCCTCCCGCACAGGCAATGTGGGCTCTGGGGAGAATACTGCCGGAAAGGGTGAGGTTTCTTACTCCTCAGTAGGCACATTGCAGCCCTGGGCACAAGTGAAGCGTGGATGGGATCTCCCCAGAGCCTGGGCCCTGGGCTGAGGGGCCCAGCAAAGCTTCAGAGCGCTACAAAGTCTTGGTTATACTGTAAGGTCCACGGGAGCATGCATTTAGTCCATAACAGACTTTTCATGTGAAAAGGATTCTTCCTGTTTCCTCAGAGTGTAGTGGATTCCCTTTGGAAATGCCAGGTCTGAAATCCGGCTCTATGGCCCATCCTGGGGTGGGGGTGTGCATGAACTTGCTCCCATCTTCTGAAGGCAGGAGGTAGGCACCCCTCCCCTCAGATGAGATGCAGGACTCTGTCTGTCTCAGGTGTAGACAAGCATATCAAAACCACCCTCCTCCTCCGCCCCATCCATCAGACACTCCTTGTCGCAAGGCTTGCTGCGCCCAGAGGTTCATTCCCTCTCCTGTCTATTCGTCCTTGAATCACTGAGTGCAGGGGGCCAGCGTGTGACCCTGCCAGTCCCACCCAGCACACGGTAGGCACCACACAGACCACACTTCAGAAAAAGTGCTTTCTCCACTAATTAACAGTTTGCTTCTAGAGCTTCCCATGCATGTTATATGTATCATATGTGTATGATGTAGGGAAATAATGATTTCTGGTAAGAGATCTCTACCACTTAGCGAGGTCTTTTTATTTCTCTTCCTTTTAAAAAACTAATGGGAACAGGAAAACATCCATGGCTTTGGTTCAAGGTACCACACTTTTCTAATTACCGGAGACCTCATTATTTTTCATGGCTATATTTCTATGGCAATACTGAAAATATTATTTTTCATAATTATGTGACAATTGATTTTCATGCCATTAAAAACATCTGCTAAAAGTAAACCAACATGTATTTTTATGACCTACAGTGTTACTAGGTGCTCCCTCCGCCGGGCCCTTGGCTAGTGTGCCTGTGCACCGAGGCAGCTGGGGTGAGCGAGCGCGGCCAGCCTACCTGTCAGGCAGATGCCCTTGGTGCTGTTGCACAGGTCCACCATCACACGGATCTGCGGGGAGAGAGGCTGTGATTAGTAGCAGCATAGCAGGCAGGGGGCCGTGAGCTTGCCCTTTATTCACACAAGAAGAAAGGAGTTATAAAAATTCACAGAGTAACTTGGGGAGAATATATAGATGTCCAAGGAAAAGTTAACCTAAGACACAAAAGAGATCTTTAAAAGATTTGAAGATATTTAATATCGGAAGCTCATCTATCACCGATGTCAGAATTTTCTTGATTTCTATTGGAGAGGGAGAGGATGGTGAAGGGATTGTCAAATTCAATTTTCAAGGCTATCCTAAGCCAGCACCCAGTGTCTAAAGGTCTCAATCTGCCGGCCTGAATACAGAGGGTCGGCAGGCTCAGTGGTCAGGAGCAAGCACTGATAGCTGGGTGAGCAGGGACACTTTTGTTTTCTCTGAAAATGTAAATAATATAAGCCCTAGAGGGCAGTTATCTCAGGGAATGTGGATGGTACCTACTCAACACCGGATGGCACCTGGGGTCAGGGGTGTCATTCCAGCGAGGTGTTAGACTGATATTGGGTCTCCCACACCTACTGTGCAGTCCCTTCTCTCATCCATTCTCCCATGCTCCTAATGAACTTCACAAAAACCCAGTCTGATGAGGTCCGTCCTGATTCAAACAGGTATGTGATTCCTTGCTGCTCTAAAGATAGAGCAAAATCCCTCCTTCTGTGGGCTCACCACATGCTGCTTCCCCTCCCTTTTTGTCTGTCCTCCAGTTACACTCTGCCTCAGTTTGCTTGTCTGTAAAATGGGGAGAGCATTAGTGCTTACTTCTTAGGATTGTTGTGATGATTAAATAAAAGTGTTATGTGTGAAGTTCATAGAACAGAGCCTAGTATGTAGGAAGTATGTATAAAAGTATTTTCCATTTCACGAAGGCAGCAGAATATGTGGAGAGAAGCATGGATTCTAAATTTAAACTGCCTGTGTTCAAAGCACGACTTTGCCACTCATAGCAGTGTGACTTTAGACAAGGTACTTGACCTCTCTGTGCTTCAGTGTCATTGTCTGTACATAAAGCTCACAGCCCTACCTTATTACGTGGCTACATGGATTAAATGAACAACTAGATGCAACTCATTTAGAACAGACCCAACACATGATAAGCCCACTCTTTATTCTGTTGTTTTGACAATTCATTGAATGTACTAAGGACTTCATTAATTTATCATCCAAGAATTTTCAATATCTAGATACAGCATTTTTTAGATCCAAATCATGTGGCTTTTCAAGCTGTGGGGAGAAAACATATTAGTTAAGAAATAAAGTTGACACAGCTGGATCGACATTCCAGGAGAAAATAGAAACTGAATCCCTACTTCACTCCTTACATTAAATAAGTTCATTAAATGATACTGATAAAAAATGTAAAAGTAAAAAAGAAACTAGTAAAGGTACTAGAGGACACCTGGGGAAAATATTTATAATAGCATTAGAAGGGGAAAGACTTCTAAGAACAAAACAACTCCTATGCTACATATAGAGAGAGATTGAATTGATACATTTGACTACCTAATACTTAAAAAATTTACCAGAGGTAAAACACTACAAGCAATAACAAAGGAGAAACACAAACCTAGAAAAATACTCGCAAAATGCTTCTATATAAAGAGCTGTTTTGAAGAAACACATAAAGGAACAAGAAACCAAAAGAAAAATGGGCCCAAACTTGAAGTTCAGAAAAAGGAAAGAGATTCATCTCCACTTAGAGCTAAGGAAATAAATCCAAGCAATGGAATTCTATTTCTGCCTGTTAGGTTTGTAAGTAAAGAGGAAGAGATCACATGTCACAGGCTTGTCAGGAAAGCAGCGCTCCCATGTCCTGCTCATGGAAGTTTAAAGGGATACTCTGCCTCTTTGGAGAGATTTGGGCAATAGCTATCAAAATGTACATGAATCTACCTTTTGATCCATCCATATACTCTGAGATTTTCTCTACAGATGCACACATATATGTGTAAGACGTAAACATAAAGATGGTTGTTGCAGAAATGTGAGCAAGAGCAGAGACTGAAAACAACCTAAATATTTATCAGTGAGCTCTAGTTAACATGTAGCATAGCTGCACAAAGAAATACTGCCGGGGTGGGGAGAAGAGAATTTCAATCCATAAGACTGATATTGTGAGCTCTTCAAGATAAATTTAAAAATGCAAAGTACAGAGCAGCATATGAAATGTACTTCCATTTATATAAAAAAGCCATGCAGCCCTGGCCAGGTAGTTCAGTTGGTTGGAGAGTTGTCCTGTACATCAAAAGGTTGTGGGTTTGATTCCCAATCAGGGCACAGACCTAGTTTGTGGGTTTGATTCCCAGTTAAGCTCATACGGGAGGCAACTGATCAATGTTTATCTCTCATATTGATGTTTCTCTCTCTCTCTCAGAATCACTAAGCACATATCCTCGGGTGACATGTGCTCTGTTAGTCATTTTATTTCTAAAATGCTTCCTGCTCCTTGCCGCTTTCAAGATTCTCTCTTTATCTTTGGCTTTCCAGGCTATTTCTGGAGAGAAATACAGAAACCTTGAGTGAGGAGGAAAGGAGGGCCAGGTGAGAGGGAGCTGCCCTGAGCATGACACACCCTGTTGTTTTATTCGAAATCTTCACCTTTTCAATTAAACTCTTTAGAAAGAACATGTTTTGATTTGAGGGGAAATTTGTTTTGTCTTCTGTCTAGGTTTATTCTGGTTGGTAGGAGGTCCAGAGGAAAACTCGGTCTGCATTAACTTTTTGTAGTCTGTCAACAGTATTTGTTGACTGCCTTAGAAATCTACTGTGAAATATATCACACACATCACAGATGTATAGAATGTGCAAGAACAGCTTAAAGATGAGTAATAAATACACGCGTACATACTGCCCCCAGCTTAAGGACTGGGAACATGCAAGTGCCCCTTCTCAGAACACACCCTCCCACTCCCACAGCTCCAGCTGGAGCGGAGTGGGCCTGCTACTTTCCCTTTCATACAGATAAGGACACGGAGGCTCAGAGAGGTCGCCTCATTTACTCAAGGTCACACGCTGGCTCACAGAAGAGCCGGGCTCAGCTCCAAGTCTACTACACTTTTTATTATGGCTCTGATGAGTATCTCAAAGGAACCAGACAGAAAAAATTTTGATTCATTGTTTTTAGTCATTTTCATAAATAAATGTAATCAGCTGCACAACTGACAAAATTTATTATAAAAAAATGTATAATTGCCCATTGAGAAGACCATTAAAGACTTTACAATGCTTCATTTGTTGCCTTGGGGATTACAGCAGAAGCAGAGATGTCAGACAATGGAAAATCAATAGGGGAAATTAGTCTTTTTCTTTTATATTCATATGGGTCTGGTTTAGGCCCAGGTTCTGTTAAAAAAGATGAAGATTCATTTCCTGATCTTTTGACTTCATTTATATGATGAATGTCAATTAAATATTTACCAGGAAATTGTGTTATTCTTCACTGTGGAATATTACTTGGGAATATTCTTTTAACAAATGTGGGCTGTATAAGATTGTATCAAGGGGAAACATAGGGTATGAAGAGGTGAATGTAAAAAAGTCAGAAATATTTATTTTCCTGATAATAGTGATTAAGAATTGGGATGAAAATAAGAAAATCCAAATTGAAAGTTACAAAATCTACACTGTCAAATTAAGGAGTCACAGTCGGCACAGAGGAATCTTGATTTAGAATTGGAGAATAGGGCAATCTGGGAGAGGCTTTAGAGCTCATTGTCTGGGGTGTTGGCATGATCCATTCATAGGGTGGCCCTGCTGGGAGGCCACCCCCCTACCCCCCTCAAGTCACCTTGGCCATCCCCTTGGGACAGTCTTTGCTGTGCCCAGTATGCTGTGCTCACATCTTCACTGAGGCCTCAGTTAAAATAAATGCCAGCTCGCCAGGAGGCTTTTCCTGACACCCAACTGAAAGTAGCCCTATCACCTCACCCAATTTTTCTCTTTGTGGCATTACCATTATCCCATATTGTCTTGCCTGTATATACATTCATTTATTACCTGCCCCTGCTCTCCAAAGAATGGAAGCCTTTAGAGAGCAGGAGAACTTCTGTCTGTATCCCCTGTGCAGAGGGCAGTGCCTGATTCCAGGCCCAGAACTTCATGGGGCAGACAGGGTTCAAGTCAGAAAGCACATCAGTGGTCTCCCAGGAAGAGCTTACCTTGAAAGAATGTGATGGCCAGTTGTTAACCAGGGTCTCTGATATGAGAATCTGACAGTGTTGGGAAGAGGGTAGGTGAGGCATAGGAAAGGTCCATGGCTCTGGTGGGAAGCCCTCCCAACCCAGCTACAGGAGCTTGGAGGACACATTCTATGGGAACAACAGCTGTCCCCTGAGCGCCACAGAACAAACAGCATCCCCGAGAGCTCAGGCTTAGCGCACCCTTGGTCAGCATGTCACAGAGGAGCTGGAATTGTCTGCTCAGAAGGAAGGCTGTGGCGGGTAAGGGTCATCTTCCCAATGAAAAGGTCAATGCAGCAGTGGACAAGGACACACCAAACTGAAGGGGACTTGTCAGCATCGACAACGCCTGCTAGTGAAGGGAGAAAAGAGCCAGAATAGGTCCTGCCAGTGGCCTGACCAGACCTTCCTGATTCCTCGCTGGTGTCTGAATTAGTAGCGCTCATGGGATTCATGGACAATTCACAGGCAAGGAAGGGGACCCTAGAGAAAAATAATTAACTTCCTGCTAATCTGTCATCAGACGGCACAAGATGACTTTAAATCCAACTAAAAAGACATTGGACATAATTTGGCAGTTTCTATTAGAAAGAAAATGCTATGAATTAGGAATTTCCTTTGTAGGAAGAGTATATAAAGATATCTGGACAAGAATGCTCATGGCAACATCCTATATAATAAAAAGGTAATATACAAATTGACCCTCACGCCCTTGCACAAGATGGACCCCCCCATGTGGTCAAAGATGGTCACCATTAAGATGTCCTGCAGGGGAAGGTAGTTGTGGGTGATCA